TATTTCAGAATGACCAAACGAGCCACACGCTTGCTCTCTTAAGGTCCTACCATGCCAGGAAGGTCTGTTGGATAGTGGCAAAACGGAAAACAGTTGCCGTTGCAGTGTAAGTTGCTCGACTGTGATGAAGTTCGAGAGCGAAGTTGTACTGTTGGCTAGGTGGGGTGTGATAGCATCAAAGTGTTTCTCTTGAATGACCGTCGATGCCAACTTTATGCTGCCTTCCCTATTTGAAGAGAGGGTTAAAAAAGATTGGCTTCAAAAATAGCCCACTCATGTCTGTTGCACGGTCCTCCACTGCCGTCAGTATAGTCTGAACAATCAAACTCATGCTGACAATCCTTAAAAAGCTGTATTTGACAGGCTTCAGGCAGATCTTCCATGGGCTCTGTAGTCACATAAATCTTTTTCAGGTACTCTGGTAAGAAATAACCTTCCTCGGTGTGGGCAGCAGGAAAGTGTCAACCACCCGGACTCTTCAGTGGTACGAAAGACGCGATCAAACATAACTTATCCTCCTCAACTGTCTTTTTTTCCTTTACCTCCTTATAATAATATTAGGCCTCGGAAAACTTCATCAGTGTCTTACTCTGCAACCACTGCCATCTGTCACAGCCATTGAAGTGTCGTTCCTATTCTTTTAAGACCCTGCCACCGACTTCATTTGGGGCTTTCAACTTACGAACTCTGTACCAAGTCGGACAGCAGACATCTATCAAAACTCCGGAATTTTGAGACATAGATGTCTGCCGTATCTTTGATACACGTATGCAGCAGCTGAGTGTGGTTACTGGATTATTCTCGCCAGGCCATTGTAGTGAATCTTCAAAGTTCACCTTACGAGTATCCAGAGTCTGGCTAGTGTAGGCATAGTATTGAGTTGTAGAGCAGAAGTGCGCTTCTCGACTAGATACCGATCAACAGCTGTTTGTTTACTGTTTAACTGAATGAATCACTTGCATCTAGCCAGCACTAACTTTAGGCATATGGGGAAGCACTCCCAATTAACGTCCACCGACAGGTAAATCATGTTGCTATGAGCTATCTTTGGAGAGGATCAGTTGAGAATTACCACTCTTTCTGGACTACCAGTTTCGACTCCGATCACGCTCATGTAAGCCTGCACCTTACTGGTCTCAGGAAACAGGCGATAGTAAAGCCTGTCTGTGATTGATCGGAAGATGAGAACGTCAAGTGCGCACTAATTAAAGAGATGACTAAGCATTTATCTGAACATGACAGCAATGCTCATTCTGAAGAAACCTGACGTGATACTAAATCTGTTGTAGAAACAGCGGTAAAGACAATCGGTAACCTACACCTAAAGGTTCGCAAGCGTCATTGGATTTCCACAACCCCATCCAAACTGATTGGTGCGAGAAAATTGATTCCAGCAGGCCGTGATCACAATAGAGAGTGAAAAAAAAAATAATCGTAAACTGACCAAGAGTCTTAGCGTCGATCGTAAACAGTAGTGGGTGGCGGAAGCGGGAGATACGGAGAAATCAGCACTAGATAATGCCCAACAATTGCTGGAGCTTATTAAGGGTACTGGTGAGTGAAACTATTGCTGAAAAGGATGGGACACTGATAACCTTTCAAGACAGATGGTTAGAACGTTGGGCCGAAGCCTAGTCCAGCTGACCCACAGCAGCTCTTTAATAACCCTACATCCAGCCTGAACCTGAATGGAACGTGAATGTCAGCCGATGTTAGTTCATAATATCTATTTGATAGACACCAAATCTACATAAAATACACGTGTATTCTTTCAATGTACTCACAAAATCCTGCATTTTGCCAATACCAATGTCTAGCAAGATTATTTCACATGAGTATTACAGGACAAGTAAGGAATCAGTTAGTCAAAGTCAACATGGAACCTGGCATTATTGCGTAGCCATTACAGTTTCCACAACACAACCAGCGAGAATGCAGTCGGATTAAAGATAAAGAAATGAAGATAAAAGTAATAAAAAGTGGTTGAAGTTAATGCAAAGGAAATAAAAAGTAGTGAGCTAATGGTGAACAGCTCTTATAAAAAAGGCTCGTTTACCATTTGTTAATACATGTCGTTTCTGGTGGTGGTGAGATATCTGACTATCTATTGAAGAATGAGTACACTAAGCTGGAATTCAGTGTGTCCTATCGCATGGGTGATACGGCCTCTAAAAGTGGATAGGAAGAGACTACAGGTTTATGACAACAGTTATCTTCGTAACATTGTTTGTATATGGTGGAATAATTGTGACTAGTATTGAGGTCAGGTTAAGGGTATTGGACGAGGAAGGTAAGTCAGTCGATACAGTTATGAACCTTCACCGGCTAAGATGACTTGGGCATGTTTTTCTTGTATCCAGCCACCCCTACCTAGATGTGTGATAGTAATCGAACTGGCACTGTTTGGAAAAGGTTGAGGTTGATCAAACCACAACTTGATACCAGTTCGTTAAGACTGACTGTTGAGTTGTTTGGGAATGTGTAGAGTACAAGACTAGGGTCTTCGACGCTATACAGATTAGTAGCTTGAGTCTTAGTGATATGTTTGAAAATTGATCATAGTGGTGCAAAATGTATATACCCTGTCATGTGCTAAATCTTTAATGTTTTCACTTATCTCCATGTATTTATCCTCTCAACTTTTAGGCACATTTGTCTGCTTTAGTATAACTTTTTCTACGCACACCTCTATATGCTGCTGGGAAGTGTAGCAAGTTGAACCGATGTACTTCTGTGCCTGCATCACCTTGTCTCTAATATCGGTTTTGATTGTGGTGTGGGTGATAACCTGAGATTAAACTTCTCTACTCGATTCGGACCAATACCCAGATACTTCATGAATTCATTCACATTCCAGTTTGATCACCCTTAGCTTTTTTTTTAGCCTAATCTCACTCCAACCGAGATCATGTACGTGGTTCAATGATTGGCATGGATGCTTAACTTGTCACAGACATCCCGTCAACCAACTTCCTTCTTTTGTTTGATACACCCGATCTCCACAGCTAATGTGTCGGATTCAGAACACGTGTATAATGCCTCTAAGGCAAGGATAGTCAAACATCTGTTGTTTTACTATGTCATGCGACTTAAATCATTATTAAAAAATATAGATTGCGTCAGAGCAGAATTCTATATAGTATGCTCCTCCCTTCCTAGGTAATCAGATACCTCACTAGTAGTACCGTAATTCACAGAAATTGACGAAAGACAATCAAATCGTTTGCATTTATGTTGAAATTGAATCAGTCACTGAGCTGATTTTACTTTGCAAATAGGTAAAGTAGTCAATACGCTAGGCAACTTCACTTCTACTACGAGACGAGATATTGACGTGAACCTGTCCTGAATTAGCAATGTATGTCTGAGTGACAAATGCATTCTGAACATTCGAATTTTCATCTAACTTATTAAGAAAGCTATGAACTTATCATTCTTCATCTGATATTTTCGTCCTTTTGTATGCTTTAAGTCCACTGAGAAGTCGTCTGAGATGCAATAAATCTGTGTTAAGTCAGATAAGGAGAGAGCGACTTCCGTAAGCATGTGTATTTTAGATTTTGATAAAAATAGAATGTGCCTGCTTGAATACATTGATTCATAATGAGTCCACTAAAATCCCCCACTTTCCTCAACGATTAAGTTACTGTATTTAGCAATTTTTACAGCAGAATGAAGATAGCACTTGGATTTCTCAAGATGATTATCGTAATCATTTTTGGACAGTTATCTTGTTAGTTCCTTTTTAAAAGTAGCCATAGTGTCCTCATCAAGAGTTGAGCCCAGATAGTCGTCTAGTTGACTTCTCCTATATCTATTTAGGTGCAGACATGCGTATGGGACCTAAACATGATTATTACCTAGTTACATACTCGAGTAGAAGTGGTATTCCTTCACCTTTCTTTCTCTGGCAGTTACTTGGCAATCTTTCCTGCGTCTACCTATTGAATGGAGTCCGCTGGCAGCCGTCTCAGCGGACCCAATAATCGCACCTAACAGTAGGATACATGTCTCAACCGATCTAATGATTGCGAGGGTGTTGGTGGCTCTAATAACCCGACACATGTGTCTTCGAAGCATTGCTAGCGTCTGGTGGAATCACCGAATGAGCATTGATGAGGTCAGGCGAAGGGTGTTTGACAAGACAAGCATACCGATTGGTGAGGTTGTGTTCCTTCATCGACTGAGGTGGCTTGGACATGTACTGCTCATACCGACCCACCGCGAATTTAGATTACGTTGGATAAGGGTTTAGGGTGGCCAGACTAGGATATGACACCTGTCGATGAACTCTCTTACTGTTGACCTGAGCCGTGTGGGGAAATGTGGGCTGCTTAGTTGAGACTGCCGAGATGGAAGGAATCAGTGGCTGAGGATCCTTGGTGACGACTGAAAACCGGTCACAATGGGGCAGATGTGTTCACTCTTTGGCATCTAAAGCCTGAACATTTGCACTAACCGTTATCTTCAGATTGCTTATTTTCTCACACAACTTTTTCGATTTTGATGTCAGTGTTTCGTATCCCCCTGTTGTTCGTGTAATACTGTAAAGTGTGGCGACTTGAGACGATGCACTTGTATGCGATGTTCTACGTTGATTTTTTCAGTCAGTCAGATAGTCGGAGGTATTAGGAGCAATGGTTTCTGTCATATTTTTGAACTCACCCATCACCATTGAGTTGACTAGGAGACGAAATCCGAATAATTGGCAACTATGTTGCAGGTAATTCAATCTTTTTCTTCTGTATGCACAATTGTGGTTGAAGATCATCTTTTCAGTATCGTTATATGATATCGTTCAGAGGTAATTATCGTCTTCTTGCCTAAATGGCTTCTTTCACCGCCTCATTGAGGTACTGAAAATTGTTTTATCACTGAATTTTCTAGTATTGAATTATTCATTTTTGGAGACCATTTTCTTAAAAATTTTAAATTTAATCTTTTCTGTTAAATAATTATCTTAATCCGTGCAATTTTGTTTTTCTTATTTTTTCTACTAGTTACTTGGAAATGTTATAACGCACTGTTATATAAAGTTAAAATAAGCTTAGCATTGCTTTCAGCTATGAATTCACGCTTTATTAATCCTGATAATGAAGAAAGATTTACTTTTGATCTCTCAGAGGAAGTTCCTGAAATCAATGAAGATGGAGGATGCGGTAGCTCACTTCTACAGTTCTCTACATCTGATTCATTTCATTCTGTTGAACAACAACGTCAACAACTTCCTGTTTTTGCCAAAAGAAGTCAATTTTGTATTTACTTGAAACTTCCAGGTTGTTTATACTCAGTTGAATCTTTAAAAATTAATTTTTGGTGACTGCGTAATTATTTTTAATAGTTTATCATCATTTGTTTATGATTGAAATTTTGTTTTTCCGTTGTAAAGTATCTCCATGATCTTGTTTTTAGATTAATGTTCTGAATTTCAGCAACAATTGATGTACTTTTGTTTTAGAATACCTATTTCCTAGTGTTTACAGCACACATTATTAACCCCTCGCTTAGTTATGCGATAATTTACAGCGAAACTGTAGTGAAAAGTATGATAGTTGAAATAGCCTCAAACTTGTTTATTTGAACTTCTATTGATAGTGATAGTGGTTTGTTTTGTTTAGCTAATCTGGAATATTTACGAGGATAAAGTTAGGTCAGGTGTGCACACGTCTTAGTGGAGCTATGACTCATTTGTGTAGGGAAGTGGGGTGTTTATCTACCATTGGATCACACGTCTTTAAATTTATGCCTGCGATCGTGATAAACTTCACAAGATGATATAAGTTCAACAGGGCTTTTAAAAATACTTTCCTCACACAGTGTGTAACACTGAAACACTATCACTTCTGGGTGTGCTGCTTTTACGTTCTCTGAGCGAACAATACTACACTGTACTCATGTATTATATATGAAAGAGCAATCTCTAATCAATTTTGTTGTTGGCATTCATCACGGACTTACATTAGCTGGAAAACCATTGGAAACGTGATATCACTAGTGTGTTAATGGTAACGTGCTGGTCATGGAGCCATAAGATTATGAGTACTCACTGTTGAGGAGTCCCATACTTGGACGAAATACCTGTCGACTACTCCCAGGTTTCCAATGTTTCTCCAACTGATATCAGTCCATGATGACTATCAAGCTGAAATCAATAAATAAATCCCTACAAACCTCCAAATCGAGTTTCAGCATTTTCGGTATATTGTCTTTCGTTACACCTTTGCACACAGTTTTTTTCAAGCATTCTTAGAAAGTTTTTCTTCTTCTGGAAATCAAAGTTTGTAAGCTTCCCCTAGTCTTTACAAAAGTAACACTCATCTTCTTGGCACTAAACATTACACAGACTTAATCAAACGGTAAATTTTTAGGGTCATTTATGAACTGAATGTTTCCATATTAACACAGGTTATTCTATCGTTTGTACCCGCTTAAAATCTACATACTTCTTGAACATGACGTATAATCGGTCACATACTTTTACTGGGGAAAAAGTTATTTTTTCCTAAGAACACTTTGTTAACTCTAGCAGTATTGTTCAAGAACCTGTTTATTTTTGACTTATTAATTATCTCTATATTCTTCACTACATTTTATCACACAATTTGAATAAGATGTGTATCTCAGAGGATAGAAAGTTCTTTGACACTTCATGCTTCTACAGTCTTCATATCAATTCTGGGGACTGTCAAAACTGATCAGCGTACAAGCTGTCTATCTAGCTTTGTATCTATCTTTCATGTATTTATCCCGTGGCAGATACCTACATTGTAATTTCCTGAACATAAACCAACGACTGAGTCCTAGAATTAACTTTTTCTTTTAGTTCGTTTCTTAACGTTTTATGGATTCGTTTTTGCTCCATATATTACCATTTTGCAGGGCCTAGTTGTTGTCATCTGGTTTTTGATATAATTAAATTGATATGATTATAAGGTAGTATTCATCACAGACTGATATCATTTGGGGAACTATTGAAAACCTGGAAGCGCTGGATAACTGTTTCGTCCTAGTATGGTACTATTCAGCAGTACGGACCCAAGACCCGGCTAGGAGTCGGACTCAGGCCGTTCAGGTCCCACGGCGAACGTGTTAACCATTCAGCCACTGAATGGGAGTTCAATGGTTCAGTGTTCCCGTGATGAATACTAACTCGAAAATGTATTACCGCATAGTACGCATTAGTGACATGCTTTCAGATGGATATCACGAAGTTCTAGTGAAAAGCCGTGACTTGCGAGATCAATCAGTCGGTAGGGAAGCGGATGCCAACTGAAGATCTTGGGTGGTAGTTGTGCTATATCGCGAATTGACAGAAGTTGGAAACTGTGAACCACTGGAAATCGACCCAATGATTGCATGATTAACGCGTTTGCTGTGAAACCTGAAGGTCCTGAGTTCGATCCCTAGTGGGTGTGTACTGCTGATGAGTCATGTACTACGACGAAACAGATGCCTCATGCCCCAGGTTTTCAGTGGTTCTTCAATTGGTGTCAGTCCGTAATGAATACTACCTCAAAATTGAAATTCCCATCCGTCTCAAAAATACATTAATATGATTACCTTTCGTTACTAAGTAACTGGTAATGTTTAGGGTCTTGTTTTAGTGCTGTTAATATAGATTAATTAATTGAAGTTTTCCTTTATCAATCTAATCTCAGAGTTTTGATTGTCACTGGGGAAACTGGCAGTGGGAAGTCTACGCAACTCCCTCAGTATGTTTATGAAGCTGGTTGGTTGGATTTAAAATCCAGTAATCTTAACCCATCTGGAGTTACTATCGCTGTGACACAACCAAGACGTGTTGCTGCTCTAACATTGGCTACGCGGGTGGCTGAAGAAAAGAATTGGCAGATTGGTAAACAAGTTGGATATATTATACGTTTTGAGGTAATTTATTATGCGATTATTTTTCCAACCATTCTATTGCACGTAAGCTTTAGGAATATTCTACTGACATACGTGAAAACCCTTCTTAAAATTTACTGTGAAACGTACTTAAATATAGTTATAAAATACGTGAACTACCATACGGTTTAACAGCAATTTGTGCACCTTGGAAAAGTTTTTGATAAGGGCAATTAAAAACCCTCTAAATAGAAGGCAGAAGCCCTGAAGTACCACTTGGTGATAATAGTTCCGCTAATTAGTATCTGTGTTCAGTTCAGTACCGAGTTTCACAATGTTCTCAGCCACTATGACTCTCAAGATGTGCATATTTGCTTATCCACCATAAACCATCACTTGTAAAGCTTGATATATTTCCAGTTTCTCATAATTGTTACAGAATTTCGGTTGCTTACTTAAAAAAGCTGATTAGTTGTACTCAGATGCTTTTGATAATTCCATTCTGTTTATGATCAATGAGTTTCTGCAGTAATTCAAGCATAAAATGGAACAGGGCACCATTCACATTATCTGTATTTGAACGAGTTAATAGCTATAAATCGTCACTCCAATCCACTTACCCAAAGGATACCGAGAATGTAATTTAAAACATTTACTCATATGAGGTTTCTAACTAAAAAATCACCTCAGAAAGTAGTTCCAGTTCAAGTTTTTCCGTACCTACTTATTAAAGTTAAGAAATACTCAATATGTCATATAACCGTAAAGTTCAGTTCAAATATGATTGATATTCTGGATATTTTATCAAATAATTTCATCCTAATTCCAAGTTATAGTTACTGTTTCACCATCTTAAACATAGAGCAGCTCTATCAGCATAAAAATTCTTGAAAATTTTCATTTACACATTGAGAAAAAAACTGATTGAGTGAAGAGATATACTTGTTTGAGTAACTTTAAAGGCCACCCCAGCAACTGAAGAGTAAACCAATCAAATTTCAGGATTTCATTTGGAAAGGTAGTTTCTCATAGAATAGAGGAATGTAATTGGTTATCTCGGTAGTTGCTAGGGTGGCCTTTAAAGACCCCAATTCCTTTGCAACCAGATCCTCGTTTTTGGCTATACACTACTATTATATTCGTTTACAATTCAATGAAAATACCAATCAATGCTAGTAGTTGGGGGGGAGGGGGGGGGTTGATAAACAACAATTACAGATTTTAAGTAAGTCATGAAGATGATGAGTTTGAAAAATCGAAATGCAAATAATCAACAGAGTAATTATACGGGATAAAAAGTGGTAATTATAATTTTGTGAAATAGGTTATTCATAGACAAATGGTATAGTACTTGATGAAGTAAGTGGAGTGATTTTTCTAGAGACTTGGCAAGCTATCTTTCTGTCATATCACCACAGGCGACTAATTTCAGAAAGCATTTTTGAAATGCTCTAACCAAAAGTGGATAAACACGGATTGCTTCTCTAACCGGTTCTTGATGTATCAAACTCACTGTATCATGCAACTGCCAAATGGTTAGTTCAAGTCTTGAGGCCTCTCTACAAAGAAGCTGTAAAGCATAGCTTAAAAGATACCTTTGAATTTGTCGAATAGATTGGGGATCTGAAAGTAGATAATGATATCATGATATCGTGTGATGTTTCATTTCTTCTTACTAACGTTTCCTTAGTGGAAACAGTAGACTTTATCTGCAATGAACTCACTAAGCACGCCATAGAAATAGGTATTCCAGTCTCCACTTTGAAAGATGTACTATGAACTCGCATCTCCTTTTCAACAATGAATGAACTCTACAGGCAGTCTGATGGTGTGGTTATGGATTCACTCCTTGGTCCACTCTTGACAGATTTCTTTCTGTCGAAACTAGAGAATGGTCCTCTGAAGTAAACTATTAGGTATTTAGAATTAAATTGTCTCTCTATGGATGATATCTTTATAATTTTCAAAAGTGAGACCGATAAGAATACTGTTCTAAATAAGTTTAATAGTGTTCATCCGGCAGTCAACTTCCTAATAGAAGAGGAGAAAAATGACAGTATTCCATTTTTTTGATGTTCTTCTGGTAGGAAGGTTAGATGAAACTCTGAAACGAAGTATATATAGAAAGCCGACATCGAAAGATCAATACATGCACTTTAGTGTCGTATCCCTCTAATACAAGAGGAACCTGGTGAAATGTCTAGCATACTGTGCCACAGCTATTTACTCGGGTGATGCTATATAGGAAGGGTCCTTCACCACCCGACACCTGCTTAGTTCCTAGGAAACAAATCTTCGTGAAGCTGAAATTCAAGAGTCACATTGTTAGTGAGATCATCACACAACACATAAAAGGAGCGCTGAAAATACCATTTCCAGCCGCTAAATTATATCTTATCTTCTACTTCTACAAGCGCATGATTGTAATTGCAAGACATACTATCTGACTCGGCCACTTCTATGGGCACTTATCAGTTCAACTACTTCTGTGAAGCTACTTACGTACAATGGGGCAGGTCCATCGTCGAATTTTGAAGCAGCACCCATCATGGTTGTATAAAGGGTAGATTGGAGCAACAAAGAGCTCCATACTTGCACACTTAGTTGACAATGGACACCAAGCGGTCACTAGAAAGGCATTCAGGATCATTTATCGTTTACCAGTTAATTTACCACACAGATTACACATTAGCAGAGGCGATTGCAATCCACGTTTACAAACCTAACCTTTGTATTCAAAAGAAGTTTGTTTATCCACTTTCATTACCATAGCCATTTAGTATTAATTTGTGCACCTATCGCTCTTTCGTTCTACTTCTTATTCTTACGTGATTATTTATTGTTTATGACTGACCACTCGAGAGAAAAAAAACTCCAATTAATTCACCAATTACTGTACCAAGCAACAATACTAATACTATACCATTTGCCTATGAACAACCTGTTGCACATCATTATAATTACCATTTTTTAATCCAGTATAGTTACTCTGTTCATTATTTGCATTTTGGTTTCTCAAACTTATCATCTTCATGGCTTACTTAAAATCTGTAATTATTGTTTATCAACCCCCCCTCCCTCCCCCCCAACTACCAGCATTGATTGGTATTTTCATTGAATTGTAAACGAATATAATAGTAGTGTATGGTCAAAGACGAAGACCTAATTGAAAAGGAATATATTTCTTTGTTAAAATTATTGCTTAAACCAAACTTTATTGATGGCCAATCACTTTCGAGTAAGGACTGGCCTATCACAATCGAGTATATGAAGGATAATGTAGTTATTAAGGAAACTGGTATTTTATTTACAATTTATAAGTCTTCGTGTAAGGTGTATTTTGCTTGTTATTTAGTTTGTTTTATTTCTTCTAATATACTTCGCTGAGATAACATAAATAAACTACACCTTATACCAATAAATCATACTAACTCAGTCCCCGAGTTTTTTCAAACCATCCAGTTCGTCGTTGGTCAGGATACGTTTAAATTTATAAACCTATTTTACGTGTGAAACAAAGATATCTAGATCTTCAATATATTTAATCATCTTTAAAGCCGTACCGTTATCTGTATTGCCACTCATCCATATGAGAACGTAACATATCTTCCCGTGAGCCCGCTAAAGGCCTTAAGGACTTTCCGCTTCAGTTGTCGGATGAACGTAGTACCCATTTCAAATAACAACATGCATGACTTCCAAGTATCTGTGTATATTGTAACAGTTTAAAAATCCCCACTAACTTGTAAAACAAAGATTTTTAACAAGGACCCATTTTTTAAACAGCATCATTCTCAAGCCGTACAATATCATATAAATATTACATTCACATGGTAACAGGGAGCCAATGTTTCATAAAATATTTTCGAACGAAATTCAGTTCCGACTGTTGATCAGGAGATCGGAAAAAGTTACATAATGCTTGAATTAGTAACAAGAATAAGAATTAATGTTATTGCTAGCCACTGCCCATCATTGCTAAGAATAAGAATTGTAAAGATCGAATCAATATTTGATTACTTAGTTATATGATGTAATGCGGTTAGAGAAAGAGACTAGCGAACGTAATGAGAAACCAAAATTATAGGAGTGGAACAATGTAATGTGTCAGAAGATGTGGAAGGAAATATTTTGAGGGTAGGTCATGTCCATTACACGTCAAGTGACTGGACAAATTTCTCTCGAACGAAGACTTCAGGCTTCAAAATATTAACTGACATGGCAGTTTGAAGAAGTTTTAGGCGTACACTTTTCACGAGGCTTGTTTGAACTCTATAGATGACGCCTGAAGGTGTTTCCTGCATTTACTGGATAGTCATAATCGATCAAATGTTATCAACAAAAAGATGTGTGAGGTGATCTCCTTTCTTCTTTGTGGAACCAGGCTGGTATATGTAGAGAGAAGCGAATGCTGAACTTTGTCAAAATGCTTTACTCTACATGATCCGGTGAATTAATAAACACACATCTAAGTGCCCAAGAGAGTTAGCCTATCCTTTACGTTTAATCGACGCATTGGGTAAGTAGTCTGCCAAACCACCACTATCTTAGATAGTCAAAACGATAATCAATATGATGCTCCCACTCTTTAATTCAGTTAGATTTGAATTGGAATGAAAAGTCATGACTAGGTAGCTGGTGGGAGTACGATCAAGTGGTAGTAACTCATCACGAATTCACATGGTAATTGAAATGAAATAAAGTCTGGTTAGCAGTCGGACGTCGTGGTCCAGTTGGTAGAGCACTGGGCTGGAAACCCGGTGGTCTGTCACTGAATAGAACCCGACTGTAGTCCAAATTTCTATTTCACCTTCAATCATCACCTAGTGTTAATAGGTAGAGGAAGTTAATCTGAGCAAATAACCTTGATATGCAGCATCTGCAACCTAATCTATCGTCCTTAAGGTTTCCCATCACCAAACTTTAGTTCTATCAAATTCTCTTACTTACTTCTCATTGAAATTATTTCTATCCTTCATGATCATGTTTTTATTCCTACTGAATTAGGAATGTTGGACACCGGGTTCAACTGTAATCTCTTACCTTACTGAGGGTATGATGGTACAGGAGTTGTTACGTGATCCACTTTTAACCCGTTTTCGTGTAATTATGCTGGATGAAGTCCATGAACGATCTCTTCAGACCGATATTCTCCTAGGACTTATCAAGAAGGTGTTACGTAAACGACCAAATGATTTAAGGGTTATTATTTCTTCGGCTACTCTGGAAGCTGAAAAGTGAGTTTTTATCCGGTTCGCTTACAGTCATGTTTTATAAGCACTTGTTTACATATTGGCTTAACTATTGAATAGCTAAAGACAAACGAAAAAGTCATGAGCGAAAATACTTTACAATCTGATTATATGTCAAATATATACAGCCGTTAGATTCCATTATGAAATAAAAGATACAACCATTGTAACTGAACTCCACCTCACCAGCGAATATCATAGTGACAATAAGTGGTACACAAAATCGTTTCCCTATCTCAAATTTGAAAATCTACTGTAACTGGACATGAGTAGATTTTCAAAGTGCATGACAGGCCTCAAGCAGATGTCCAATGGGCTCTGCGGTCACATAAATCTCTTCCAACTACCTTAAGAAGAAATAGCCTTTGCCGGTGTGGGCAACCGGCAAATGTCAACCCCCTCACGTCTCCGTCAGCGCTCAGGTCCCCTGCCAACCTACTTTTTTATTCTTCCTTCGTGGCTCTCATTTAACAATTCGATATCATCCTTAACTTCTTCTAGCTCTGCGGCTTTCGGCAACGATATGAGTCCACAGAACAGCATCCCCGGTTTCCTCAAACCACCCTCCGAACTACACATTGGAGCCCTCAATCTCTTCACCCCTCCCTCTTATTGACCAACAAGCTTCATTGACCAAAACCCTAGTAAATCGGACCATGGATGTGTGCAGTGTTTGTAAGACATGCATACAGGACCCAAGTATTATCATTCACTTAACTTCTCCCTGCCAGTATGGTGAATCCGAAAAATTCACCATTCGAGTTTCTGGAGATTCGATGGCTAGCTCTCGCGGTCTTGCAGGTGTAGGTATAGCATTAAGCACTAGGGCAGAAAACTCACTGCTAGATTGGGTCATAGTTGACAGTCGTCTGTGCGCTATCCAGCTGAACAGCACAGTGAAAAATGAAAGGAATAGTGGAACTCGTCGTTGTCTCTTTGTAATCTCTGCTTACGCACCCACTGACTGGAGTTCGGATGAAGTGAAGGATGAGTTCTACCGAAAACTATCTAGCTTCCTACTGAGAGCCAAACGTTCAGATGTGGTTGTTGTTGAGGGTGATTTCATTGCACACATGGGTAAACTGAGTGAGGCGGAAAGGCACTTAGTGGCATTTTTGGAATCCCGATTGATCGAACAGACAACGATCACCACCCACTACAACTGTGCTCACATAACCACTCATTCCTAGCTAGCACAAACTTCAGACATAAATAAAGACATTGTCTGACGTGGTGTCGACCAAGTTCAACTCAGCGATGGACACGGACAGACCATATTGACACCGGTTATCGCTGAAGAGAGTCGATGGAAGACTACCACTCTTTGTGGAGCACGTGCTTGGATAACGACCACGCGATGGTTCGATTGCGTGTGTCTTCGTCTCGATGGACGCAGGAAGACTTTAGCAACAAGACTATTACGAGTGCAGTTCGACAATGAGTGCACTAAGACTGCTTTCAGTGAGGAACTGGCTAGGCGGTTATCAGAACAGAACAGAACAGTATCACTCATCTAGAAGAAGCTTGGTGACATCTGCAGTCTGCTGTGAAAACAGTGTTGAAGACCTCAGCCGACTGTGAAAGTGGTCGAAAAGAACTTGTGGATATCAGCAACTTCTTACGAATTTGTGGATGTACGTGAACGTATCCCTGCAGATTCCGAGTACAATAAGGAGTGAACGCAACTCAAATGTAGACCAACAGAGGGTCTGTGCAACGACAGTGAAAAGTGATGGGCAGCGAAGGTTAAAGAGGTGGAAAAGGCAGTGGCGATGAGTAACAGTAAACTATTATTTAGACTTATTAGGGAAACTGAGGCGAAGATGTCAATGTTTAGTGAGACTATTGCGGAGAAGGATAGGTCTGTGGTTCACTCACAAGGAAGACGACTGGAACGATGGGTGTAACACTTTGCGGAACAGTTCAACTGGCCTCCGCATACTATTGCGTTGCCCGCTATCCAGCCGGATGCTGAATGGAACATTGAGACAGGGCTCCTGACGCTTGCAGAAGTCGAGAAGTGGTAGGTAACTTGAAAGGAGAAAGGGGGGCAAGACCAGACAGACTAGATCTTGAGGTATATGAGGACGGTGGTAGAATGTTTTTAGACAGGTTAACTGGAATATCAACTAGTGTATGGGAGTCAGATATGATCCCCACTGACTGGTCCTAAATCAGTGATTATCCCAATCATGAAGAAAAGCGAGAAGTCTTCTTGAGATAACCACAGAGGAATCCGACTGACGAACATAGTCTGTAGGATCCTAGGTTCTAAAATCATTAGATGCTTGACTGGAGCTCGGAAACAGCAAGCCTGGTAGAACTAGTAAGGCTTCAGGTCTGGCCGTGGGTGTATCGACCAAATTTCCACACCGTCAGGTTCTGGAACACAAGCACGCTTACTGACACCCGACAATGGCTGTATTTTTTCACTTGGAGGCGACATTCTACCGCATGGATAGTGAAGTCTTATGGAAGTGTATCTGATTGGAGGGGTCACCGAGTAAGTACACCTTATTGAAGACTCTTTACTTAAACACCTGTGGAGGGTGGGTGTTAGAGCCTATGGTGATATATCGGGTGAGTTGTATACGTCGAGTGGTGTGCGTCAACTATGCCCACTCTCTCCATTCCTATTCAATCTTATCATAGATGCTCTTATGGTGGTGTCTGTCTCGTCATCTGACCACACACGGATTGACTTGATCACAGTAGAATTTTTGGTAGACCTAGAATACTCAGAGCACATAGTCAGTCGTGTTAGATGAAGATGCTAACAAGATGCAGAGTCTTCTGGAGACTTTGAGTGGGAATTTGTGAATGTTTGAGATGCGTTTCTCGTTCAGTGAATGCAAATTATTGCTCCAGGACTAGTCTTCAACGGTACCTTGACTAACAATAGAGAGTGAGAAGTGGTTGAGTGGGACAAGAGGAACGAGTGGTTGGAGACTGGCTCTAGGTGAAATGGCTGAGAACCGATGTCAGTGACGCAGATGTATACACACATTGTCCTCATCTTAACGCTTTACCGAATCTCATCATTTTTTCATTCTTCCTTTCGTTCTTCTCGCACTTTTTGTTTCTTTTGACTGAATTTTTTTTATCTTCATCTTGCACGTGAGTGCGGTTTTACTTGATGTACTGATATGAGGTGTGGCAACTCGGACCGTTACGCAGTGATGCCTGGTCCTATGTTGATATTGATGATGGTTGAGCACGTTGAACATTTCACTTACCTAGGAAGTTGGATGATGCGTAGTGGATTGGTCAGTGGTCGACGAAATTTCCACACAGATACAAAAGTGTTGGTTGGCTTTTGCCAACTTATGCCACCTGTGTCACAGCTGCGATATCAGATTGCCTATTAAGAGTCGAGTGTACTGTGGTGCAGTCCATTTTGTTCTACTGTGTTGTTGTGAAACATGGGCATTAACAGTAGAAGAAGACATGAGAAGGCTTCAGGTGTTTGACCACCGTTGCCTTCTTAGCAATGGCCGTGTTTTGTGGTATCACCCAGTGAGTAACCCAGAAGTCAGGCGTAGGGGTTTAGACAAGAAAGGCATGTCAGTTGATGCAGTTGTGAACCTCTCTTGACTGAGATGGCAGGGACATGGGTTGTGTATCCCTAACCACTATCTGCCTCGTCACCCAATGTTGACTTAAGTAGGTTCAGGCTGGAAAAGGCTTCGGGATGGCCAGACTAAAGTATTACACCAATGTGCGAAGTCTTTGACTATTCGTTTGACCCATGTAGGGCGATTCAGTCTAGCCGGTTGGGTCCCATGCGACAAGAGAAACCAGTGGTTAGAGGCTTTTGGTGATATGGCTGAGGACCGATGTCAGTGGAGCACATGCATACGCATTATCCTTATCCTAACTGCTGTACATAATCTCATCATTTTCTCATTCCTCCTTGCTGTCTTTTGGTACTTTCTATTTCTTCAGATCGATCTTTGTTCATCTTCCATTTCATTGCTTTGTTACTTGATATGGTGATGAGAGGTGTGACAACTTGTACCGTTGCGCAATAAAACTTAGTTCTATGTTGATGATGATGATGATGATAATGATGTACGTCTTTGTGTGCTCATTTTGAAGAGGTTGATGAAGGTGAATATGAGTATTAATGTCGTTTTTAAAATGAATATAATACTGGCCCAACTCGAAGTTCCAAACAGTTGTTGTCAGCTAAACCCACGTATTCAATATTAGTTGGTGTCATTTTATTGTTCTTTCAGTACAAACCATGTGGTTTAGCATCTTTTGTTATCAATGTCCTTGTGTTTCAAGTAGAGTATACAATAAAGCATAACTGTATTGTTTGTTCAGTAGAACCACCAATGCCAGGTGTATGCACAGAATTTAAATTTGTTATATGCTTATTGGTAGCAAGTGACTTCGCAAGCCAACTAGACAATTCTGAGATAACCAATTATATTTCTTAATTTTTGACAGGAGAGATGGTTATTTTACTTAGTAGTGGCTAACATTCACAGTATTGTGGTTAAGCACATTTTTACAGTCATTTTTCTGTAATAAAAGTCGATTGTGTCAGTGGATTTACCAACTGATTGATGAACACTAGTATATATTTGACCCATGATATTCCTGATTGTGGTCGACTGCATCATGCAACAAACTGTGAGGAGCGAGAAGAGGGGGATACGCTAGACCGCGGAAAAGAACCTAGAAGACTTGGATTTTGCCGATGACTTGTGTCTGATGTCGCACAAACTTGAAGATCTACAGGTGAAAACTAACAAGTTGACAGAAGAGGCAGGGTAGCGAAGACAGGACTTCAAGTGAATATAGAGAAGACAGAGGTAGAGGTGATGAAGATTCCTAACCAACAACAACAAGCTCCAGTCATCATCAGCGGGAGGGACTTGAAGGAAGTAGCCTCCTTCACCTATCTAGGAAGCACTGTTTCAACTACAGGCGCCACAGGCACAGACGAGGATGTCAAATCCACTCAGAATCGGAAAAGTAAGACAGGCGTTCATTAACCTGAAACCAGTGTGGAGATCTTCTGCACTCAGCATGTGGAACAACATCCGGATTTTTAACACCAACGTCAAGTCAGTGCTTCTGTATGGTTCAGAGACTTGGAGGGTTACGAAAGGGATTTCCAACCAACTACAGACATTCATCAGCAACTGCTCGTGCTCGCTACTGAAGATGAGATGGCCAGAAAGAATAAGCCACAAGGAACTGTAGGAACGAAGCAACGAAGCAAGAACCTATCGCTCAACAAATATGCACTAGAAGGAAGTGGAGATGGATTGGGCATGCACTGAGAAGGCCGACTGGGGACATCACGCGTCAGTCCAGGCCCTCGAGTGGAACCCAGATGGGGAGCGACGAGTTGGGCGTCCGAGATGAGGGTGACATGGAGGAGATAGTGTGAGGAGGAAATGAGAGGTTGTGGGCTGTCGTGGAGCCAGGTTGAAAAGATTTCAGAGAACAGAGCGCACTGGAGATGTGCTACTGAAGCCCTATGTTCCATTAGGAACCCAAGGGACCAATAATATAATGATAATAATAGTATATATTTGAAGTTGTAATTAAATGCAAATGCACTGAAAATATACTTATACTATTTCTTGGTTATACTCTGTATTAAAACGATATCTTGATATCATAATTTACTTTTCAATTCATCAATCTTATGAGAAAGAAAAAAATTGCTTAATTGATATTGTTAACATTATAATTCTTTTAGATTTGTAGAGTATTTTTCAAAGATGAAAATGTCAGAAAGTGAAGAAAATAAACAAATAGCACAGTTGACTCCAGTTACACATTTAAATGTTGAAGGACGCCAGTATCCTGTTTCAATATTTTATTCACTTGATCCTGTTCCGTGTTATTTATCTGCAGCTAAAGAAACAGTTTTTGGGATACATGAAACCAAACCTTTAGGAGGTGATATACTTGTCTTTGTCACAGGTAAGTAATAATAATGATCGCTTTATTCCAAACAATATGTATGACTGTATGCAATTCTCAGCATGTAATTTCTCAACAAATTCACTCCCAGAACAGTATTTTCAGACGAAGTGGTTATTGCATCTGCATGATGTTATTAATAACAACAGTATTCAAGGCAATAATATGAAATAGTCAGCTGGTTCTGAATGAGCATCCGGTCCATAATGAAGAGTCAATAGAAATGCAAGTGTAATTTTGGTGGTGGTGGTGGTTCATTCAGATGGTACAGAAACCTGCATCTCAAGTTAATCATCTGACGGATAGAAATACGATGTACTTTTTTTGCACCGAAAAGTCCATTTCCATACAATGTAGCACTTTTTTTCTGTGCTTTGTTATTGACTCGAGAAACGGAGAGTTGGAAACAGAATAAAAATGTGGCAGAGTACATGATACATTGGAATGACACATATTTAGATGATTGAAACAAATTGAAGAGAGATAATTTGATGAAAAATGTTTGATGGATAAATTTGGTAACCCAAAGTTCAACCAGGCCGCGCAATATGATCGTTACTATATTATGCATAAAATGTGTATTTGTTACTCTCGGCCATAAATTATTCATGTGATCAAATGCATAAATATGCTTAGCCCTTGTCTATTAGATTATCCAGTATGAGTAGGCTAACGGTTCTATCTTCGAAAGAAGTGGTGATGGTACTGAGAAGTCCCATACTAGTTGGACGAAACAGTTGTCCAGTGCTTCCATGTTTCCAATGTTCCTCCAACTGATGTCAGTCTACGATGAATACCATTTTGAAAAAAAATCTCTAAAATCCTCACAAATCCCCTAAATTTTATTGAACTAGTACTCAATGCTGACTAGCTTCAAGAGTTGGTTCCCGAAGTTCCAGTGAAAAGTCGTGACCAGTGGGGCAAACCTGGTGGCCGTAAGGACAACTCCTCAGCGATGGTATTGGGTGGCGGTCGCGCTATGTCGTGAAGACAGAGGACCATTGGACTCCGACCCGGTGGCTCAATGGTAACGTGCTGACCACGGAACCTGAAGGTTTTAGGCTTGATACCTTGTGAAGTTATTAGTGCGCAATCCTGAGGAGTCCCATACTAGAACGAAACTGCTGTCCAGATTGATATCTGTGCGTGCTGATGGTATTTGAAGTTAACAAATCATTCTGTCAACTTAAGGTATTTCAGATAATCTCCAAGAGGTAATCACTTAATCATTCCATCTCGTATATACTCAGTTTGATTGGGATTTCGGTTAAAGAGCATGGTTGGTAGATTAGTGCTATAAAGAGTGAATAGTTTTTCCCCCCATTATTCACATCTTAGCTGGACAAAAAATTCACAGATTGATGACTAATTACTACTTTTATGAAACAATCCCTATCACTTTTCAATCAGTCAATGATAAAATGCATTCAGACTATTGTTAAGCTGAAGCGTCCATTCCTAGAACGAAACAGTAGTCCACTACCTCTAGATTTTCAAAAGTTCTCGAACTTATGTCAGTCCACGACGAATGCTGTCTTGAATCATGAGATGTCATACAGAGATTGTAGCACCCGCATATTGTACACACTACCAAAGGCTTTATTCTATTGTGTGTTAATTAACGATACTTAATTTATTATAAATACATTTCTACTTAATATTTCCACCTTATTGAAGTATCTGCTCGAACACTTTTGGGTGTGTTAGAGCCTATGGTGGATATATCGGGTGAGTTGTATACGTCGAGTGGTGTGCGTCAACTATGCCCACTCTCTCCATTCCTATTCAATCTTATCATAGATGCTCTTATGGTGGTGTCTGTTTCGTCATCTAACCACACACGGATTGACTTGATCACAGTAGAATTTTTGGTAGACCTAGAATACTCAGAGCACATAGTCAGTCGTGTTAGATGAAGATGCTAACAAGATGCAGAGTCTTCTGGAGACTTTGAGTGGGAATTTGTGAATGTTTGAGATGCGTTTCTCGTTCAGTGAATGCAAATTATTGCTCCAGGACTAGTCTTCAACGGTACCTTGACTAACAATAGAGAGTGAGAAGTGGTTGAGTGGGACAAGAGGAACGAGTGGTTGGAGACTGGCTCTAGGTGAAATGGCTGAGAACCGATGTCAGTGACGCAGATGTATACACACATTGTCCTCATCTTAACGCTTTACCGAATCTCATCATTTTTTCATTCTTCCTTTCTTTCTTCTCGCACTTTTTGTTTCTTTTGACTGAATTTTTTTTATCTTCATCTTGCACGTGAGTGCGGTTTTACTTGATGTACTGATATGAGGTGTGGCAACTCGGACCGTTACGCAGTGATGCCTGGTCTTATGCTGATGATAATGATGATAACTTAATGTTTCTGGTGGTAATGCTTACGAATGTCTAGCTAAAAAGTAGTTTTTGTGACTTTTTTCTGTGTTTAGCTACACCTCTGATCTGAAGGAGATCTAATGAATTGTATAGACGTGGTTTTCTTACAGATAAACCCAAGATGGTGTAAACCAGTGTAGTGAGTTGTTTGCACAGTGGCAATGGTCACTTGACTGTAAGTGGTTGGATAGACCACTCTTTTGTTCCAGCAGCAACTGGTCTTTTTGCCCGCAATACAACTACTGTGAGCTTAGGATTAATCTACTCACGTTTGTCGATAACCTATTTCCCTATCTCTGTTTACATTCTGTGGTGAAACAGTGATACTAATTAAAAATTTTCCATAGTTTCTAATTGTCCCTTTCATCTTCCATGTACCGCAGATGTAGATAATGCTTATATGATTGTACTACTTATTAGTAGCTAATATTTTATGGTCATATTTTTAAATGTCACTGTTCAGTTATCTTGTTCAACAGAGATTGTTTTCTAAGCTCGTAGTCTTATCGAGCTAATTATTTTTAGCAGACATTCTTTCACTTTACTTTTCTAATTTACCACACTTTGAGTTCATATTACACTGGCCTGATAAATGAAAGCCTGAATCTCAGATAAGCATTATCAGTCGCATTATTTTCTACGACTTACGATTGTGAAATAATTGCATGCTGAATAAAATTAGTTGTGTATTGTCTCATTTTCTAGGCATGAAACCAGTTATTTCATTCATATGAATTATGGTGCACATATCATGGCAGGTAATTCAGTTGTTCTTAAGAATGACTCAGATTGCGAATCTGAGAGGACAGTGAGCGTTAAACTGTCTCTTCTCCTTTGCGACCCTGGGAGGTGTAAATTATATAACTGGTCGAATCTTTGAATTATGCATACAAGATGTGATATATGTATACGAGATTATTATTACTTCTATTATTTGTTTCTTGGGTTCCCAGTGGAACATAGGACTTCAGTAGCACGTCGCCATTTCACTCTCTTCTTTGCAATCTTTTCAACCTGGCTCCACGACTGCCCAGCAGCTCTCATTTATCCCTCACATGATCTCCTCCATGTCACTCTCGAACACCCTACTCGTCGTTTCCCCTTAGGGTTCCACTCGAGGGCCTGGCCTGGCCCGACGCGTGATATCCCCAATCCGTCTTCTCAGTGTATGCCCAATCCAATCCAATCCATCTCCACTTTGTTCCGCATATTTTTTGGGTGATAGGTTTTTGGTTGGTTCGTTGACAGCTAGAGTTCCTCCTTACTTATTCCTAATATTCTGGCCATCTGATCTCCATCTTCAGTGTGAGTATTGAGTGAGCGTAGGTGGCAGTTGTTGAGACTGTGTGTCTGTAGTTTGTTGGGAATGGTTTTCGTGATGTGCCAAGTGTGCGTGTGAAGCATCACAGAGAAGCAGTGAGTTGACTGACTTGGTGTTGAAAATCTGGATGTTGTTCATGCTTTGTGGTGAGTGGAGTGGAGTAGATCTGCACACTGATTTCAGGTTGATGAAAGAAGTCGTGTCTTGGTGTGTTCCCGTTGCTGGCCTTGACATCCTGATCTGTGCCTGTGCCGCCTGTAGTGGAGACGATGCTGCCTAGGTAGGTAGGTAGGTGGGTAGATGAAAGAGTCAACTTTGTTTAGATTTCTGGCATTGATGTTGATTGATTGATTGTTGTTGTTGATGTTTGTTGGATATCTTCATGTGTCACCTCTGTCTTCTCTACGTTCACGTGGAGGAAGTCCTGTCTTTGCTGCCCTGTCTCGCCTCTTTTGTCAACCTGTTGGTTTTTGCGTGTAGATCTTGTAGTTTGTGTGACAAGACATTAGACATAAATTATCATGGTTGATGAAATCCAAATCTTCTTATGGGGTGTTTTTAATCGGTCCATGCAGCGTATGCCGATATTGTGACTCCTCACGGTTTACTGCATGATCCAATTGATTCCAGTTGACCACAATCGGGAAGGTTATCAGTGATAGTAGGCGGCAACCTTGTCTTGCTCCTGTCCTCACTTCAAAGGGGTCACTGACCTTACCATTGTGAATCACTTGGCATGGAGCATCATATAGTATACGGCTGTTGAATGAGGTTGATAAAGGTTTGTGGTACAAAATCGTAGTGTTGAAGCAACTGCCAAATTACTTGTCGGTCGACGCTGTCGAAGGCCTTTTCAAAATCGACGAAGTTGATGTAAGGTAGAGAGTTGACTGCTATTCTACACTCTGTTCTATGGTGATGCGTAGCGTTGCAATTTGGTCCGCAAATGATTTGTACTTCCTGAATCCAACCAGCTTGTTCCAGTCGTAATTGTCAATCCGGCGCATCTTTGTCTCTCCATGATGATGCGGCTTAATATCTTGCTTGGGGTGGACAGGAGCATGATTCCGGGTCATTTCTTGCAAAGATTGAGATCTTTCTTCTCTGGAAGTTTGACAAGGTATTCCTTCTTCCAATCATCAGGTATCTTTCCTTCCTTGGAAACCTGCAATAGTAAAGTGAGCATGTCTGCAGTTGTCTCTGCGTCTGTTTTCAGTGCTCCTGGTGGAATTCCATCTTGTCCTGGTGCTTTCATGGATTTCAGTGACTTTCTGAGGTTTAGGACTTTGACTTTTGTCGGAGTGCTTTTGTTCGCTGATAATTTTGTGACTGGGCTTCTGGTGGTATTTCTGGCCGAGTTGTAGATGGTGGTGGTCGGTTCAAGAGTTTTTTGAAGTGGTTAGCCCATCGTTGACTTTGTTTCTCTACTTTGGTAACTAACTTTCCCCCACTATCTCTCATTGGTTTCGTCTGCGTTGATCTATTCCCTTCCAGATAGTAACCTGGTTATTTGATACAATGTTGTCAGGTCTCTCCTACCAGCAGTCAGTTCTACTTCGCTAGCCAATGTGTCGTAGAAGTGTCTTTTGTCTTTGTGCATACTCTTCTTCACTTCTTTGTCCAGTGTAGTGTTTTATAGGTTGTGTTCAGTTCGTCTTCTCGTTGTGCATCCTTGCACTGGTTTATCTTCTGCTTCACCATCCTCTTCTCCCTGCTCCATCAGCTTCCATGTGTCCGTCGAGATCCATTCCTTATCTTCTTTCTTCTTCCTTCCTAATACGGTTATGCAGGTTTCCTTCCACATCTCTTTCAAAGACTTCCAGTGTCTTCTTCGACGGAGGTTTCTTCAGGGATGTTGGTCAATGTCTTCCATTCTGTTCTGATGACTGACGTGAAGATTTTCTTTGTAGTTTTGTCCTTCAGTTTCTGGGTGTTGAACTTGAACTGTGGTCTATCATCACCGACTTCTTTGAAGGCTTTCAACTTGATTTTGAGGTTAGGTTCCTTGCACTAGATAGTGAGTGGTGTGAACCTACATCTGCTCCCATTCTTTATCTGGTCTTGTGTCCAGTAGGCTGACTGCGTCTCCACTTTCTTCACATTGAGGTGAAGTCGATCTGATTTTTAGTGTAGTGTGTCCTAGTGTCTGGTGAAATCCATATCGCTTTATGGATAACCTTGTGCTTCCAGTCACCAAATCGTTGATTGTGCAGAAGTCTGTAGGCAGTTCTCCATTCTCGTTCATCATTTCACTGAGTGCTTCTCGACCGATTATTGGTTCTCTTCCTGTGTTGTCCGCTCCCAGTTTGGCATTCATAGCACCCACCCATTAGAATTTTGATGTCGCCAACTGGTGTGGGGTCTTATCCTGTACTGATTGTAGTTGTCTGTCGAATTCCTCCTTTTTCTCTTGATCTGCATTATTTGTAGGTACGTAGCGTAGCATTGTATGGTTGTGACTTTCCTTCGTTTCGTGTTGAACCTTGCTGTCATGATCCTGATGCTGGAGGAGATTGGTTCCCACTGCATGAGAGCCTTCGATGATGTTGATGACGTCATGATAGCCACTCCGAAACTCAGTGTGCTCGTGGTTGTCGTCTGGTTGACCGGAGTAGATTATTGATTCTCCAGTTGACAGTTTGGAGAGTCCACTTCCATTCCACCTGCTTTCGCAGATTCCTAGCACTTCTATGCTATAGCTTCTCATCTCTTTGGGAATCTGGGCAGTCTTGCTAGGTTCAAACATAGTGTGGACATTCCATGTCCCCATTCTTTCGCTTTCATTGATAGAGAGAGAAGTCACATCGGCCAATTGGCTTCCCGAAGTCTTTCACCAACTGGCGTCATTTCGTCTCTCCGATTGCCGCGAGGAATAAGTTTAATTTTATTTTTTATATTTTCTTTGTGCTTAGAAGTTTCTGTAATGGTTGAATTGGTTTTCCGGGGTTTTCCATACCCAACCTTCCCTCTTTACCTGGGCTTAGGACTGACTAGTAACTAGTGAACTAGTTAACCAGGCGAGGTTGTGATGAGGAATAGGTTGTAGATATTTTTTTATGTAACACTTAAGGTGTTGAGTAGACTGAGTCTTCTGGTTAGCTTCACTTAATAGGAATACATTGTCTGCATACTGTAGATATACTAATAATTTTTTTTGCAACAAGATCAATCCGTGTATATTCGGACAAGGAGTCGGGGACAAATTCACTGGAAAATAAATGTAGTTAACTAGCTATTTGTTTGAAGTTATATTGACCAACAATGAACTGGATGGTTTATTGTATGATAGTGAGGATGTATCTGACACCTGTTAGTCACAATCTACTGTAAAACTAGTGATAAAATAGTCAGTAATTTTCACAAGAAATTCACGCTGAAATCTATTGTACTATTTTACTAATTTAAAGTCTGTAGTATGTAGAACGTAGGATAAAACAACGGATGAGTCAAAAATAAGTTGACCTATTATTATTTATTCGTATAGGTGAGAGTTTGTCTACTGGTTAGGTCGTGATTGTTGTAACCAATAAGAATTCAGTTCATTGTCGTGTAAAGGGTCAAATGACAAAAAATCAATATATTTCAAATGAAACTAGATATACTAGAGATAAAGTTACTTGACTAAACAATAACTATAACTTAGATCTTATTCGGGTAAAACGTCGTAATCACAACAGTGTTACTGATTTGTTTTTTATTTTAAAATTTTTCTTCAGGTTTCATTCAATTTCTTTTCTCTGAAAGAAATTGGCCTTTTAATAAAAAAAGCACTTCAGAACTGAAGTCATCGTATACATGTTGTTACCAACTATGATAATTGACAGCCAAGTTCTACTCCTGTTTCATGTTAAAAAAGGCATTTGTCTTGTTTGATTAGCTTACTCAAGAGTTAAACTCTCCTTGTTCACTAACACACTTGTCATGTCTAACAAATTGTTTCTGAATGTAATTTTCATATTTTAACCTTATATTTACAATAGATATAAGAAGTGTATTATGCATAAGGGTAGAATTCATTTTCTGTCTCCAACACATGTAGATAAAGTGAACTTGTTAAGGTGTCTACTTCGATAGGAGTTTGAACTTTGAAATATATTCGACTAGTCCAATGTGATCATATACACTTCGATTGGTTGGACTATTTAATAGAACAAACTTTCAGTTGGCTTAAATCCACTTTAGATACGAAAAATGTATCTTCGACTACTGATCAAGCTTTATATATTTTAGACGTTTTCAAACATTTACTGTTTATTGACATACTTGTTATTTTCCGTTGTTTTGTTGGATCGCATTGTTCTACCTTTATTGGCATATGGGGGCTCCTATGTGGATACCTCGATATTGCCTGAATGTTAATTATGATAATTTGGCTAGCGAGTCCCAAATAGAACGAGACGCGCTTCCTGGATTCTTCTGCTAGCCACAACCAACCAAATTATCATAATTAACATTCAGGCAATATCGAGGCATCCGCATAGGAGTGCATATGCCAATAGAGGTCGAACAATTCGATCCAACGGAGAATAACAAGCATGTCAATAAATAGTAATAACTATTACCCGTTGTACAAGAAGTGGCTATCGTTCCTCCGTGGCATAGTGGATAACGCCTTGGCGTTTGAAGCGATGGATACGAGGTTCGAGTCTCAGTGGGAACAACATCACTGGGGTGCAGGCACATCCAGCTGACGAGTCCCAAACAGGACGAAACACACCACCTAGATTGTTCTGCTAGCCACAACCAGCCAAGTTTCCAAACATTCTAACCTGCTCTTCATGACCTTGACAATAAGTTATCAGTATTCATGAGTGATGACATTCAGTTCATAGAATGTACAGATTGACGGTTTTTATGTAAATAAACCTTGAGAACTTTCTTGTAGTTAGCACTGTGCCAGAGAAACAGCTAAATTCGTGTAGGCTTGTTAATAAATTCTTACTTCACGTTTGATGGAATCAACGCGTGAGCAATGTTGAGGTCAGGCAAAAAGTACGAGATCATAATACTTCCAATCCTTTTAATATCATTAAGATACGATCCACATTTAGCAATATTTTTTTGACAATTTATATTTGGTAATTAGTGCCATAGCAAATTCTTGATTATTTCAAGTTGGTATTCATCGTGGAGTGACATCAGTTGGAGCAAAACTGGAAACCTGGGATCACTGGACAGCTGTTTCTTCCAAATATTATGGGGCTCAGCAGTGCGCACCCATGACCCCGCCAGGGGTCGAATCGGCTACCTTTAGGTTCCGTGGCCAGCACGTCACCATTGAGCCACTGGGTTGGAATCTAATGGTCCATATTTCCAACTTCTGTCACTTCAAAACATAGCGCAACCGCCACCCAATATCATCCTTCAGTATTTGTTCTCATGGCCATCAAGTTTACCCCACTGGTCACGACTTCTCGCTCTCTACTTCCCCACAAACCCCCTAAATTCAGTTATAGATTAGTTTTATACAACTTGTGAACGATATCTGTTTAAGATTTCGTCTAGGGTAGTTTTAGATACCATATTATAAAAAGTTTTCTTCCCTAAAATAAAACTTTGTTCATGAATCCACCCAATATTGGTTCACATTTCTGTTGTTAATGAGGTTTCCCATCATGCTATACTTCAGCAAGTGCTAAAGCTAAGCATTAACACAAATCTTATTCATACTTCTCTTTTGAGAAATATGTGGCCCATAAAACGGCTGCAAACTGGCAGCAATTGGATGGTGAGTTGGAACCCTATCCTACATATTTTGGTCTAATTGACCAGCAGTATTGTAAACCATTACAAATAGATAGTGACTTATACTGTTGCTTACAAATCTGTATTGAATTGCACTTATGAATCATGTATTACCTTTCATTTATTTGTAAGGTCAGAATGAAGTTTCTCAGTTGGTTGGTAATCTAGTAGAAGAATATCGAAGTCGAAAAGAACGTTTCTTAGCTGCTCAACAACAGAATTCCAAGGTGAAGTCACCTGCTATGTATCCACCTCTACGTTGTCTACAACTGCACGGATCCCTTCCCCAGCATGAACAACTTCGTATTTTTGAAAGACCAACTCGAGCCTGTCGTAAAGTTGTTGTAGCTACCAATGTTGCAGAAGCATCAGTTACTCTTCCTGGTATTTCTTATGTAGTAGATTCTGGATTTTCTCGAATTCGAGCGTACAATCCTGTGAATGGACTTGAAGCTTTAGTAACCATACCCATATCTCAAGCCTCAGCACGACAACGTGCTGGGCGAGCTGGACGTACAAGGACAGGACAGGTTAGTTTGGTTGGATCAAAGTGGAAGATTGAGAAATAGGGGAGAAAGCTTTTTAAACCTAATAGGTATTCGTGAAAATAGAACAAAAAGCAATCAGATTACAGTGGAACTTGTCAACGAAATCCGATATGCGCTACTGAAATGAATTCTGAGCCATAACGACTAGTTTCCAACCACCTATTTCGGTTATGAAGCGGAGCCCAACCACAAAGTTCACATGTCTCTACTCCACTCAGACCAACATTCAGAGGATTCATGGCGTGATGTCACGTTTTATTCTGGCCGTCTCCAACCCTTCAGACCGAACACATATTAGGTTAGAATGTGCGATGATGTAGACAGTGACTAGGCATGTTTAACAAATGACCCATTCATCCTAGTGGATAAAAGTCTACAGCCTTGTTAATTAACTAATCTCTTTTACCCAAAATTCTACGTGTGACCTCTGTTGTTACTGATGTAGTGTAAGTAGGACACATTATGTAGTGTATGATGGTAGTGATGCTAGAACACCTGAAGCACTGTGATGTCCTCCATGTGTAATGGGAGAGAGGGAAGTGGGGAACAGTGGATGTGGCTGTTAATCGGCGATGGGATATCACGGTGATGCTGTGATCGGTATGATATAGCCAAAACCAATTGAGCCTTTTATATGCGAGCAGAGACTTGGTTGGTCAGTGAGTGACCCACGATGATTGATGGAACCTGTAGAGTGAGTGAAGCGGTCGACACATTCAACTATTTCACTGCTTGTTGTTAAGCGGGTTGTTAACGCAGATTAGTTTCGGAGCAACAACTTGCTTTCATTTGTGTGATGAGGAATTTTATTATTATTATTATTACTATGATAATCTGTCCCTTGGGTTCCTAGTGGAACATAGGACATCAGTAGCATGTCGCCATTTCACTCTCTTCTTTGCAATCTTTTCAACCTGGCTCCACGACTGCCCAGCAGCTCTCATTTATCCCTCACATGATCTCCTCCATGTCACTCTCGAACACCCTACTCGTCGTTTCCCCTTAGGGTTCCACTCGAGGGCCTGGCCTGGCCCGACGCGTGATATCCCCAATCCGTCTTCTCAGTGTATGCCCAATCCAATCCAATCCATCTCCACTTTGTTCCGCATATTTTTTGGGTGATAGGTTTTTGGTTGGTTCGTTGACAGCTAGAGTTCCTCCTTACTTATTCCTAATATTCTGGCCATCTGATCTCCATCTTCAGTGTGAGTATTGAGTGAGCGTAGGTGGCAGTTGTTGAGACTGTGTGTCTGTAGTTTGTTGGGAATGGTTTTCGTGATGTGCCAAGTGTGCGTGTGAAGCATCACAGAGAAGCAGTGAGTTGACTGACTTGGTGTTGAAAATCTGGATGTTGTTCATGCTTTGTGGTGAGTGGAGTGGAGTAGATCTGCACACTGATTTCAGGTTGATGAAAGAAGTCGTGTCTTGGTGTGTTCCCGTTGCTGGCCTTGACATCCTGATCTGTGCCTGTGCCGCCTGTAGTGGAGACGATGCTGCCTAGGTAGGTAGGTAGGTGGGTAGATGAAAGAGTCAACTTTGTTTAGATTTCTGGCATTGATGTTGATTGATTGATTGTTGTTGTTGATGTTTGTTGGATATCTTCATGTGTCACCTCTGTCTTCTCTACGTTCACGTGGAGGAAGTCCTGTCTTTGCTGCCCTGTCTCGCCTCTTTTGTCAACCTGTTGGTTTTTGCGTGTAGATCTTGTAGTTTGTGTGACAAGACATTAGACATAAATTATCATGGTTGATGAAATCCAAATCTTCTTATGGGGTGTTTTTAATCGGTCCATGCAGCGTATGCCGATATTGTGACTCCTCACGGTTTACTGCATGATCCAATTGATTCCAGTTGACCACAATCGGGAAGGTTATCAGTGATAGTAGGCGACCTTGTCTTAGTGATGAGGAATAGGTTGCAGATATTTTTCAGTTAACACTTAAGGTTTTGAGTAGACTTAGTCTTCTGGTTAGCTTTACTTAACAGGCCTATATTGTCTGCATGCTGTAGATGTACTAATGATTTTCTTGCCACGATATCAATCCGTTTAGAGTTGAACGATGAGAAGAGAAGCCACATACACACTTCTGTGCCAAAAGAATATAAGTAGGAAAAGTATGGACACGTTTTACGATCTTCAGGTGATGTGCGCAACCTATTTTTTGTTTCATCATTAGCTCTTATCTGTTTACGCGTCTTAAAATAGAGAACGTTTAGTGGAGTGATGTGGTAAGCCATTATACCTAACCCATTATGTTTTATATTCTGTAGCTTATTCTTGTTTTATAAATATGCAGATAGTAGGTGTGAAGTTAGGTTTTGGCGTGAACGTTTTTGATGTTTTGAGTGTAAACATTGGTGAAAACATAACTTTTTTCTCTTCTTTACTGACACGAACAACTACTTATATGATTACTACTCAACATCCATAGTTATTAAGTTGTGACTTCTTCTGCTTCTTTTCTGTAGACACGTTTTGTAGCATTTGAGATTGCTTGAGCGTTTTATAATCCGAAACAGTATCTCATTGGGCGGAATAAAGTTCATTGGAAATTTCGTCAGCATTTAGTTTACCTTCTGGAGGACTGATATTTCACGGTAGTTATGCTTTACCATGTTGTTTTCAAACAAGATAAATGTTTTTAAACATCAGCACTAAGGGGATGTTCAATGTAGCATCCATAACTGAAGGAGATTATTTGGAGAACCACCCAGACTTGGGAATAGTGGACATCCGTGATCCCGTAAGAGATCGAGTCCAGATCCATGAGGTCCTGCGTCGAGCACGTCACCATCTAGTCACTCAGTTAAAACCCAATGGTCTACATTTTCATACTTTTATCAATTCGTCATACAGCGTATTTATTGTCCACTGCAATTGGTCACTATTCGTCCACCCATCCGACTTGTTCGCGACTTCTTATTAGAACTGACTGATAAGCATTCGACAGTTATTCATCAGTGCTTGAGAAATACTGCCTTGAATTAAATCAATCTTTATTGAACAGTAATTGAATTAAAGGGATATTCATTTAAAAACCGCAAATGAATCTGACAGCACATCTCTGTCAGTAATACTGATTGCCAAACTGACTATCATTCCGAATTAATTTCTTTTCTTTCGTTAATGAACCCATAGGCTTATCGGCTTTACACAGAAGAAGCATTTCACAAACTCCTACCACGTTTTACACTGCCGGAATCATTACGTGTTGATTTATCTGGTGCTCTTTTACGCTTAAAAACACTTGGCATTGATCGTCTGGCTCAGTTCGATTGGCTTGACCCACCACCTCCATCACATGTTGGTCAGTCTGCAGAACGGCTCGTCGCCTTAGGAGCTCTTGATGCGAACTCTGGTCATCTTACTATTCCCCGTGGATTAAAGCTAGCAGAAGTCTCTACTACATGCGGCTTAGATCAGCCTTCAGCTGCAGCCGCACTGTTGGGTGCTTGTGACGAAGGGTGTTCTCAAGAGGTGGCTGCTATTGTATCATTAATGCAAGTAAGTAATTTATTTGATACATGTATATTCAAGTAATTATATTTCAGGTACCATTCTTTTTTGTGGATGATTTATTGTATACCTCATATCTTATAGATTCAAAGAGTATTCACCGTCTCCGACTATAAACGTACAGGTGATCGTATTCGTAGACAGATATTTGGCTGTCATCAAGGCGATCATTTGACAGAATTAAATGCATTTGTTGCTTATGAACAACAATCAAAAGTATTATCAAAATCAGAACTACGAACATGGTGTCGTGATGTTGGTTTGAATGAACGTGGACTAGCTCATGCAATTATTCTACGTGATCGAATTGGTTCCATATTTCGTCGTTTAAAATTACCATGGGTGAAAGCTGAACCCGAAGGTAATCCAATTCCAATACTTCGAGCTCTTGTACGAGGTTTCTTTCATCAGGTAAAGTACATTTGGTCACTTTTGTTAATCTCGCTTTGATATGCCATTTCATCGTTTTCGAGGAACTTCAGTTGCTGCAGTGTAGGGTGATCAGCCGATGAAGTCTAACTGGTTGGTGTGAGTCGTATGGGGAGATGTTAATTTTCTATCTGGGGTCCCCTAGATGATAGGCATAAGTAATTGAGAACTCTTGGTGGCGGCTGAAAATCGGTCACGATGAGGCCGATGTATTCACTCCTTGACATCTAAAGCTTGAATATTTACACTAATCTTTACCTTCAGATTGTTTATTCTCTCACAATACTTTCGTTCTCGCACACAGCTCTGTCTACTTTGATATCAGTCTTTTTGCATCCACCTGTTCTTTTTTACTACTGTGAAGTGTGGAAAAATAAGCCGACACAGTAGTGTGCGAGGTTCTACATTGATTTTGTCTGTCAGAAATGCAGATGGTTCATAGTTTATAAAGGTATTAACACTTAGGTGTTATTGCTTGTATGACACCGTCGTTGATTGGACCGAATTGATCCGTCTCTGTTGGCGCATAGGCTCCTGTACGGATGACTTGATATTACCTGTGCTTTAATGATGTATAGTAATGATGGGTGGGAACAGTATCACTCACTGGGAGGCAGGTACATCCAGCTGACTAGTCCCAAATAGGACTAAATGCGCATCCTGGATTCCACTGCTAGCCACTGCCCATCATTAGTATTAGCACTTTGCCTAAATGGTATCACTGTGTGGCTTTCTTCTTAGAACAATAGAATTTGAATTCCTTTCTTGATACACTTAAATGCAGAGAGTGAACAGTGATTTTGTACAGTTAAGATTAAATACTGAAGGGTTTTTCCATAAATTTTTTCCTTCATAGTAAATGTCTGTATATTTTCTCTGAAAATCAACATAGTTTGCTTCTATTAAACATTCATGTCATCGATTCTTCATCATCATCTTTTGTCCAATTTCGCCTCATTTAATAATTTATCTCTTTTGACTGATCTGTTTATCTACTCTTGGATAATGACTTGTCAGAAAAGATCCTGCTTTTGTTCTCCTTCATACTTCTGTTAATATTCATTAGTTGATCCTACTGCTATTATTATAACTTGTCCCTTGGGTTCCCAGTGGAACATAGGACATCAGTAGCATGTCACTATTTCACTCTCTTCTTGCATCTTTTCAACTGGCTCCACGACTGCCGAGCAGCTCTCATTTATCCCTCACATGATCTCCTCCATGTCACTCTCGAACACCCTACTCGTCGTTTCCCCTTAGGGTTCCACTCGAGGGCCTGGCCTGGCCCGACGCGTGATATCCCCAATCCGTCTTCTCAGTGTATGCCCAATCCAATCCAATCCATCTCCACTTTGTTCCGCATATTTTTTGGGTGATAGGTTTTTGGTTGGTTCGTTGACAGCTAGAGTTCCTCCTTACTTATTCCTAATATTCTGGCCATCTGATCTCCATCTTCAGTGTGAGTATTGAGTGAGCGTAGGTGGCAGCTGTTGAGGCTGTGTGTCTGTAGTTTGTTGGGAATGGTTTTCGTGATGTGCCAAGTGTGCGTGTGAAGCATCACAGAGAAGCAGTGAGTTGACTGACTTGGTGTTGAAAATCTGGATATTGTTCATGCTTTGTGGTGAGTGTAGTGGAGTACAGTGCAGTAGAAATGTAACTATATTTCAGTTGTATGTGCATCACTCAGTATTCAGTTCATTCCCAAGATGAATATCAACAACTGTACTTGTTGAGCTGTAATTTCACTTGACCGTTTTATTATTGTTGACCCTTCTTGAGATTTTTAACAGTGAGTCTAATGTAGCGTCCAAAATTTTAAAAAAAGGTGAATTATAAATTGATAATAACATTAAACTGTTAATAAAAACCGTTTGAAAGGAAAACAAAACAATTGAGAGTCATAGAGATGAGTTTCAGAATTAATACTGGGTGGTAATTGAAGGTGTGATGAACATCTGGGCTGAGGCAGGATGTGAACCGACGACCTCCCGGTTTAACGGCCTGGTGCTTTAAAAACTGAACTATGACACCCTGCTCCTTACCAGATCTGAATTCCACTTCAATCACAAAGGTTTTTACTCGACTGCTATGTGAAATTGTGATACATTTGTGTCGTTTGATTGTACTGACGTTGGCTATATAGTCAGGGCTTCTCATTCCAATCCAAATCGAGGTGAATTAGAGAGAGGGAGTTTCATATTGACTATTGGCTTGACTATCTGAGATCACCGAAGTTTGGCTGACTTGTTGATACCCGATGATGATTGAGGGTTCGAATCCTGCCGTTGTCCAGATTTTCATTTCACCTTCAATCATCACCCAATATGAATACAGGTATGCCAAACCGCGGTAATCTCAGATCGGAAAAGTGTTAGTATACAGAATTAGCGTCTGTTTTGTATATAGGCTTATTTTATTGCCTTATCTCAGATGTCACTACGGGCTATATCAAATAAAAAAACTTAATATTGAATTAAATCCCATCAAACTGCTTGATTTCTCCAGTCTTCTTGGTCAAGTAAGGTTAGTTAGAAATCAGATCAAGATGCAATACCGATTCGTAAGTAGCTCATTATTGGTTTTTCGTTTGGAAGTTCAATGAATAACCGAAATCGATAGTTATTACTCATTGAACTAGTCACTTGATTTCCGACCAGTGGGTTACAGGTTCGAATCCGGCTTCATCTACACTTGTTTTGGCAGCCAACTAGTGTTATTGGCTATGAAACAAAAGGTGTGGCTCATTCCCTACTACTCAATGTGCACATGGTCACTGAGTGTAAGTGGGTTTTGTTTCGTCTGATAGTTGAACACTTTAGACAATATCTGATTGAAGTGGCGCAGTTGGTGCATGCAAATCTAATTCTTAAGAGTCTAATTACTGTTTGTATTTATTTTCTTTGTTTGTCTCATAACTACTGCGATTTTTTTTCCAATCCTTTGGATTCTGTCATGTTGGTTTACCCTCACTAAATTCTTATACCTGACTATTGTTTGTCATTTATCTGAAGCTTGAATAATGCAACTTCACAGTAGCTCAATGGTAACTTGTTGGGGGCAGAATCTGAAGGTCGTGCGTTCGATCCTTGATGGGGTCATGGGTATATACTGTTGAAGAGTTTTATACTGGGACAAAACAGCTGTCCACTGCTCTCAGGTTTCTTATGTTTCTCCAACCAATATCAGTTCATGATGAATACCAACCTGAAATCAAAACAATGACGTCATTTAATTCAGTAGCATACGACCTGAATAAATAAATCAGTAGATCCTTATAAAAAATATTAGCACATCTTATACAGAGCGTTTTTAGATATCGGTTGACGTTTTAATGACTAGGAAAGCATAGTAGTTCAGGATAACAAGGAAGTTCAGGTCATAAACTCAGTTAAACTGCATAATTGTTATACAGAGCAAGGTGAGGAATGTTCACGAATGAGTGAGATAAGACTAGAAAGGGTTGCGTAATCACTTGAAAATACCGTACTGCTATGAAAAATGGATAAGGTGGTAACACTATCGTAATAATAACAAATATGGTAATAGTGGAACGATAACCAGCATGAAAATGTATAAGAATAAGCACTAATGTATTAGAAATATTTTGGGGAAGATGAACGGGAAAAAAGTCACTAATTGCCAGGACAATAATAAGTGAGTAGCTGTGTTCTTTTTGAACACACAGTTCCGTTTGGACTCGTTAGATAGTGATGACTTCGGCAATTCCAAGTAGGTGCGAGATTTGTTGACTACTATATAGGATTTCATCGCATCTACTTGATATCGCATATCACATAAGTGACGAGCTACTGTACGGTTGAATGGACGTCTGAGACGTAGACTGTCTGACATATGCTTGGGAATCCTAGTAGAAAACTATTCTTCTTACTTGCTACCGCAATTACATGTGAATTGATAAATACAGTTGGAGTTAACAAGAGTTGGAACTTTGTGTAATTGCACATGTTGTTTGGTACAGTGAACAAATCCTAGATAATGAACTTCCAATTCGACTGTTGGTTCATGTCTCAGTATCATCTCCCTTGAAAGCCAATGTAAGGAACATTAGTTTCCTTTCAATAATACTACATCTTGCTCTCTTCTCTTTGCTTTTGCAGTAATTCTGCACGAAGTTCATCGGATAACCATTATTGTGTAGACATTGTTCGATTAGTTGAAATTCTTGCATTTTCTTCTTGGAAACAGTCTGTCTGCCCTGTGGTATAACATCCTCCTCACTAAACCTCTCTTGTAGCTGATTCTACCACTGAATTGGTGTTCAACGGTGTCTCGGCTAACAATAGAGTGTGGTAGTTGAGTGTGTTGATTACTTCCCTTACCTGGGAAGTGGGATCAGCCCTGGTGGATCAATGACCGATGAAATCTCTGGCTGGTTTTTGCCAACTTACGCCACCTGTGGTGCCGCCGTGATATCCGATTGTCTATTAAGGGCCGCGTATACTGCACAGCACTCCGCTCTTTTGTACTGTATGGCTGAAAAACATGGCCATTGAAGGTGAAAGACATGAGAAGGCTTCAGGTGTTTAACCATCATTGCCTTCGTAGTATAGGCTGTATTTTGTGATGTCACCACGTGAGTATACACACATTATCCTCATCCTAACACTTTACCGAATCTCACTACTTCCTCGTTCTTCATTTCTCTTTTTTCGTACTTTATTTTGACTGAATTTTCTTTTCTTCATCTTCCACTTCACTGGCGTTTTACTTAGTGTGGTGATATGAGTTGTGGCAACTCGGAGTGTTACACAGTATAATACCTAGTCGTATATTGATTTAGATGAATGGATGGATGTAATTTGTGTTAGTATCTGTTATAGCGATTATTTACTTATTCAGGTTGTATGCAATTGAAGAAGATTCTATGAAGTAAATCATATCGTTTTATCCCTTAAACGATGTTCTCATTGCGTTATTCACTTTCATAAAGGAGATTAAATGCATAAAAATATCTCAAACTCTTTTACTTTTCCACTCATATTTGTTTAAAAATAAAACTCCTCTTGATCGTTTCTGTAGGATGAAATAAAACAGTTATAGTAGTTGTTAACCCATTGAGTAGTTAGTTGTTCTCGGGAGTGTTATTACTTCAGTGATCTCTTCTGAGATTTTATCTCTTAGCCTATATTCATATCGCTTTTTACTTTCTTGTGATATTTTGTCTAATCAATTCCATTTTCTTCCTTTTAATAGGCTGCTCGTTTAGCTTCATCTGGTTCTCATTATTTGACAATCAGAGGTGATCATCAATTACGCCTACATCCTAATTGTGTTTTATACTCATCAACATCACGTTGGCCAACATACATTCTATTCACAAATATATTTCTGATACCCAACTTAGATGATAATAATTCTGGGAAGATTGGAAATTTTGATAAGACTGATATATCAAGTACTTGTGTCAGTGGTGTTAGTGTTGTACAACCTGATTGGTTATTAGAATTAGCTCCACATTATTATCAATTCGGTACTGATAGAGAACACTTGGAACATTCTTTACGAGTGAAAAATTGAAATGTATATCATCAAATCGATTCATTGTATACACTTATAGTGAAGTATATTGATTACAAGTTATTGGAACACAATAGTAATAATAATTTGTCCATACTTGTCTTCTCATGTGTACAAATCCGATTTTGAACTAATTTTTTTTGTATTAAAAGATTATTTACTACTTGTGTATTCTGAATTATTTCATTTTTCATCATTTGGAAATCATCGCAGTTGAGTTCAACTCATACTTCACAACAATCTACTGGAATAGTCCACGTGTAATACTTTAGTTCTTAAGATTGTATTGAACTTAATCTTAATTGAGAATCTACAGCTTTATACATGAAAATGTGATGAAATGTTGCTCAGTAAATATGGCCAATTTTATACAATAGACAGTAAGCGATGACCCTTGTTTATTTGATATATATGGCACACAGTAATCTAGTATTATTTACTTGATAATCTTCCAAGCATAAGTGATTATTGCTCATAATCATATCATTATAAGCACACTCTTTTCGATATGTGATTTTGATAGTTCTGTCACATCTTATTCTTTGTTTTTATTGGTAATGAAATTTTTCATATGTTTTGGGTGCTGATTCGATGAAGAAAGATTCAGTAATCAATTTCTTTCTCCTACCCACCCTATTGTGTGTTAATCCATGCACTGCAATATCAGAAGTGTTTTTCTAGATTATTGATCTTATTCGGATCTGTCATTCTCTATTTAGCTAAGTTCCCATGTCCCGCTATTCTAACTGGCCCCGACCAGCTGGGCTAGTTCGACTTATGTACTTGACCTCACAGTCATTACATGGAATTTGATGGATTAGATTATTTTGCGTAATTGGATCAATCGGATCCTTAAGCCGACAAAGCTTATCTTTGAGTGGGTTTATAAGTTCAAATGTCACCCTAATTCCAGCTTTGTTAAGGATCTTATGTGAAGTTTCTGATGTACCTTCCTTATGGGGTAACACAATGGAGGTCTTGAACTCCTATCTACTGGTGTTATCGTTATTCACACTTGTGTTACTGTTATTATTTTGTTTCTTATGTGTTCGTACGGATTTCTCAATAAACTGCGGAGGATAATTATTAACCATTAGAGCTTCTTTTACGTGCTTCAGTTCCTTGTTCAGATTTGGATACTACCATCTACAGAAAACCCACACACTCCAACAGGTATCTAGACTTCTAGTCATCTCATCCAATATCAGTCAAGGCGAGAATTTAGCTAAATCTAGAATGTCATACCCGAATAAGATCAATAAACTAGAAAGGAACTCGGCAATTGCAATGCATGGATTAATACACAAGTACACAATAGGCTGGGTGCGATAAAACCACTGTACTAAAGTCGAATATAACTAGGTGGAGAGAGGGAGACTGATTACTGAATTTTTGTTCATCGAATCAACCCTCATCACAGTTAACTGGAATGACGCAACACCCATACCAGAGATATGGAAAATTTCACGAATCAGAAAAAATAATATGAGGTGACAGGACTATAAAAAGTAGATGTCGAAAGTAGTGCGATTATATTGATATGACTATGAACAATAATAATTTATTCTCGAAACGTCATCAAGTAAGTAGTACTATATGACTGTGCGCTATAAATCAAATTAAGAAATCTGATATGGAATTACATTCTGTTACGGTCCCCAAGTTTTACGCGATGTCGTTTGTGTGATGCCTGGTAATACTACTAAGCTATTCAACCCTCGTTTGGTAGATTGTGGTTTGAACGCGTTACCCACTGCATAGACGAATGAACCACAGCTCCCATGGTGTGCAAGTTTATCTCTGCTTATATAAACCCCTATTTTAAAGATATATTTCTCATCACAAATGTTATAAATGGATATATTCGAGAGCTTTCAAAGTAGAATGAACCAACTGTCCAGTGTTCTTTGGTTTTCAATGGTTTCCTAGCTGGTATCAACCACTATTCAAAAAAAATCAATCAGATGAGATTACTACAGCTAACCACTTCGACTTACATATACCAGGCACTACTTATGTCTTTTCCAAATATTATGAGCTATACTCTACATGCAGTCCACTGTAGTGTTACAGTGTACTTGATCAATAGTAGTTTTTTTTCTAGCGTCGTAAATAAAACTTTCACTAGTGAAAGCTATTATGAAAGGCAAGCAAAATAGTAAAGAATCTAGCATAGGAATTTATAAGTTGTAGTTAACGAAATTCTCAACATCACAGAAAAAGAAAATAAGCTCAATTGGTGCATTGAAATAAAAAACTAGGGATCATGTATTGAAAGACGTAGGGTGATAAGATGTTCAGAATTACTTAATGATAAACACTGAGTGCATTTGTTCCCTTCTATATAGCACCTCTCCATTTCCTACGTGGTCTTGAAATGTTGCTTATAGCATCTTGATTATCCCAGTCAGGAGCCTTACTTCATTCAAACTGACTTTCAGGTAAACCATGAAATGGTTGTATGGCTGGTTTCTCGGTAGTTACCATATTTACCTGCTAAGGAAATGTATCATACCTCAGTTGGTAGAGCTTCATAAACTCATCATCTAAATGACCTTCTTCAATAATATGCGTCTGAATTCAGGTTGACTTGCTTCGTTTTTCTACCACATGCAAGCAGTGCTTCGAAGTATACACTTTGAATAGTTCTCAAATGTATAGCTGGTACATTGATTTGGCGTATTAAAGACAAAAATTTTGTGTGCTTATCGGGTTTTGTCACGAAGTAGTCAGTTAAGGTTGATGCAATTCTTTGAGTAAAGGAAGTTATGACCACATTCAGTGACTTTGTTCCTAATTTTTAACGTAGGTAGATGCTCATGAAAACGTTCTGTCAGTGGAACTTTCACATTTGTCTAGAGGAGAATGTATATCAAAGATTTTCAGACTTTTAGTAATAATAATAATCGCTTTATTCCAAACAATATGTATGACAGTATGCAATTCTCAGCATGTAATTTCTCAACAAATTCACTCCCAGAACAGTATTTTCAGACGAAGTGGTTATTGCATCTGCATGATGTTATTAATAACAACAGTATTCAAGGCAATAATATGAAATAGTCAGCTGGTTCTGAATGAGCATCCGGTCCACAATGAAGAGTCAATAGAAATGCAAGCGTAATTTTGGTGGTTGTGATGGTTCATTCAGATGGTACAGAAACCTGCATTTCAAGTTAATCATCTGACGGATAGAAATACGATGTACTTTTTTTGCACCGAAAAGTCCATTTCCATACAATGTAGCACTTTTTTCTGTGCTTTGTTATTGACTCGAGAAACGGAGAGTTGGAAACAGAATAAAGATGTGCCAGAGTACATGATACATTGGAATGACACATATTTAGATGATTGAAACAAATTGAAGAGAGATAATTTGATGAAAAATGTTTGATGGATAAATTTGGTAACCCAAAGTTCAACCAGGCCACCGTGATGTTCAAGGCGTCTCAGTCTTACGCATGTATTTCATCGGTTATTTGAAGGCCAATTAGAGGGTCACCTATATTCATTTGTTTGTTACCACAATGTTATGGAGATTATCTTAAACTGATTTTCTTCACCTGACATAACACCTTTCCATACGCCCTCATATAAATATATAAGTTCAAGTAGAAGGCATTTAGAGACCCATCCAAATTTTCAGAATCTTCTAAGAGATTTGTCTTTTCTGAAAGTAGTCTGATTAACTGTCGTCTTTTTGGGCTCATTTTGTCAGCTAAGTTTAATTGATTGCTAACACTAACTTAATATCTATACATTTTCTATCCTCTCCTGAACTCATGATCATTGAGAGGGATTTTAGTCAGTTATCTAAGCCGGATGGTATGCGTTTTTGCAAATAAATTAATCTAGATAAAGTTATCAAGATCTCCCGAGTTAGGTTACATGTACCAATTTTCTCTATAGTGATTATAATATTAGGTCACTTCAATATGAGACCAGCTGTTGTTCTGTTATAAGTAACCAGTTAGCTCATCCTTGATTAAGAAAACATTTATCTCATCAGGGTAAGTTTACTGTGCTTATTTGAAAGCAAATGCGTTTAATGTTGAAGCATATTTCTCAAGGAAAATGGCCATTTTCTACCCACCCTATCCAATGATGATCGTTTGAAGCATAACCTTAGTCTGTTAGTGGCTGCCAAGCTAAACAGTTTCACTCTTTATTCTTAAATTTAGGAACGGGTGATCGGTTGGTAAAAACTAAAGGAAATAAACATTGTTATACGATTATCAAGAAGCCTTCAACAGTTGGCTCAGTATCCCTGCTAGCAAATTATCGTCATCATGTACTATAAGTGTACTTGAGTGTTTAACCTTTTGCAGCAAGACTGGTAAATTCATATAATTCTAATTTTACTTGGAGAATACGCCGTTGGGAGCTGAAATTAAGTATCCATTTAAGTCTCTACCCTTCCAACTTCTTGAAGAAAACCTCCACAAAAGGTACAGAGAAGTATTAAGTGTAATCCAAAGCCAAAGAGTATTCTTCCTGCCCTATGACTTAATTTCACCCTTGCATAGATTAGACGGAAAAGTTAGTCGTACCATATTTATCAGGTGAATAACCGCTATTTGATCATGAATATATCTCAAAAATGCAGCAAATCTGTAGTCAAAGAAGTCAGCGCTTTCAATAATGAGATGTGTCCGATTTCAAATAGTATTCGAATGTTCCAACTGGTAGTTTTTACGATGATTAAGGTGAGCTTCTTTGCTTTAGGAATTTTCAAGGTGGTTGACAGATACTATGTGGTTCCCCATAGTGTGAAAGGTGATTTCTCCTCAAAGCATATTAAGGAGGAAAATTCGTTTGAGTCAAGTAGTCGCACATCCTAAAAATAGTCTTTTGTCGACTGAACACAAATGGGGTTTTCGGCGGTAATGAAGGATAAGGAATTGTGCCAACTTTTTAAAGAACCATACCTTTCGATATAAAAGACGGGATTTAATCTCTAGGTTAAAAATCTTTTAACATCTCATTTGGGAAGCAGAGAG